GCTCTAGTGGAAGGTGTCCCTGCCCATGGCAGGGGGTTGGAACTGGATGGGCCTTAAGGTCCCTTCCAACTCAAACCATTGTGATTCTCCGCAGGCAAGGTGGGTCACCACAGGGCAGGGCCGAGGGGAACCTTCGCACAACCATCCAGCAAACCCTTCCATCTCAAACTGCTTTTGGCAGCAAGAGAAAGGGCTGACAGGACGGAGGGGAAAAGGCAGAGTCGGCGGCCAGGCTGGCACCGTGCTGGGAATTAACGTTGCAGGAAGTTGTTTTGGGTTGCTGCTGAAGTCGTTGCTGTTGCTTTAAAAAACACATCTAACCGTCCTAACGTTAATTTGTAACACTGGAAGAGAGCATGCACAGAGTTTCAGACACAGTGGTTCAGTATTTCAGGTTTACTTAGTTTTAAGTTTTGAAAGTTTAAAAAGTTATACAGGTATAAACAAGCATTTTTGCCATTCAGCTTTGTCAAAAGAAATGAACATAGGAAGTAGGCACATCTTTCTTAAAGAACAGGACTTCTTATCTTACAATGGTAATCAACTGATAAAATAAATTTTATTTCCAGGTTTGTATTAAACACTCATTATCAAGACAAACATGAAAGTTTTTTTCCTTTTTTCAATATTGCACCAGCAAGATGAATTTTTATCCCTTATCTAGTGAGTTATATTGCACATGGACAGTCAGGCTCATCCATGCTTTTGAAAAAATTACGATACAAAGGCTAGATAATTCAAGGTACTCCAACAGGAGTAAGCTTGGGAACACAGAGTAACCTACTTGAGCAATTTGTTTATTTGCATAAGCTGCCTCCTTATGACCCTGGCAGCTTTCTTAGAGAAGTTCTGCTTCACAGCCTATTGGCAGATAGTAGCACAATGCTAAAAAAAGGTCTGCAGTATCAGCATGTGAAGACAGAATTTTCAACAGCAAGATCTACAAATCATGGGAAAGTCACACAACAGACAACTGTTCTGGGTTCAACAAGGTTGTCAGCCCCTCCTTCTCCTCTACAAAAATCTCACTTCAATCACAAAACTTCTGGCCACCAAAACTGGTCTACCATACTAATTAAACTTACTCTATTTAAAACTACAGATGCAGTATGCTTCTGCCAGATATTCCCTTAGACCTCCAGATAACAAGACAAAGGAAAACCCATGGCGGCCTTAATGCACAACAGGGCCAAAAAAAAAAAACCCTGTATAAAAGCTTTTTGCACCTTGACACCTTGCATTTGTGATCAGCATCACATGGGGCAGACTCCAGGTATAAATACTTAGTTTAAACATATGCAAGAGTGATCCCAAGCCAATTTCAGATGAGGAATTACTACAATTAAAAAACTGTGCGTTTGTTATAGTTGTACAAGTGCAATATATAACAATTTCAAAATGAAAGGGCAACATAAATGAACACAATAATTTATTAAGTACATCAGAACCAAGTCCTGCAAGACTAAAAATGCGACTTAGAAATAGGATTTGCAGCTGGTCCCTCCTGTTGACATCTCAATCTTGGGAGTTTAAACCCGAAGTTTTATCCAAGGAAAAATCTCTCTCTGAGGTACAACAATACAACCTTGCATCACAGGGACCGTGCATGACACTCAAGGATAAAGAACTGGAGTCATAACTTGTACCAACATACTAGGCAGACCACGCAATTGCCCAGAACGCAGTTACAGCAGTTCTAGGGCTTAAAGCAGCTTTATGTTTCTTCAGATTCTGTGCATGTTCGTAACAGATGAACTTCTGGACTGAAGCCAGTGGGCTTGGATTAAACCGTTCTTATATCTGTAGCTAGTAGTTTTCCATGGATAAAGTCCCAAGTCACTGGCAAGGATCCCCATTGCATTTTAAGAGTCCAGGTTTCACTGTTCACAGTAATGCCTTGATTTCCAGTCTCTCCCTAGGAGAGTGGATCATGAAGCTTGTTTTGAAGAGAACACTGAATGCAAAATTAAAACAATAAACTGTATGTCCTAAAATGTTATGTCTGTAAGTGCTAGATGAAAATAGAACTATGGCTAATTATATCCAATTTACAAGAGACTACATGTTTTTTTGCAAGTACTAGTTGCGATTTTAACATAAGGTTCATTTTTTCTCCCTGAAATGTTGCAAAAACCATAAATGCAAAAGGATGTTACAGGTAATTGCAACCTACTATTGAAAACTTCTTAAATATTAGTGCTCAAGTTGTCATGATCAGTTTTCAATATTCAGCAGAAAAGTTAGAATATTCACAATTAATTTAAATAGCAAAGTTTGCTATAAATGCAGCCTGGGAAAACCTAACCTATATATGTAGTTTCAACAGCAAAGTGAACTCTAAATAGTATATGCTAAGTTAACATGTGACAAAGAGCTGTATCAAAGTACTAACTTTTATTTAAATGTCAATTTCAGATTCTGGACTAGCACACAACAGCCTGTAGGGTGTGCTCTTAACTACACGCACATGTTACTAAGGATTCTGAGCCTGCAGTAGCAGTGGTGAGCTGCTGCCACACTAAGTTATATGCACAGATCAGACCATTCTTCACAGGGCAACACTATGTTTTAGCCTATCATGTCTATCTTATAGTCACCCTATCAATGGCATCAAGTCTTCTCAGCATTAAGTCTCTTGCCATTGTTATGGACTCAGTACAGCTTCTAAATCTTGTTGTTTTTAAATCTTTATATATACATAAACAGCTTTTGCAAACTATATATTTGATATTTCTGTTCTACTCACAGCCCATAGAATTTCATCCTTAGTGCATTACAGAGCACCTATGTGTGTTTCCAACTGGTAGCACCTGCATGCATTTAATCAAATTTACCCATTGTTAAAAGTAGTACACTGTAACGCATTAAACAGTTCTTTATCATTTACTGTCAAGTAAGGGGGGGGAGAAAGACAGCAGTTTTAAACACATTACTCTTAGATGTTGACAGTTCTGACCAGCTGAGTCACAACTGTGGATGGTGTACATTTACTTACAGAGCATCAGGTGTATTTATTACCAGTGAAAACAAAGTCCACCTAACTTAAATGTTATATGCAGCCTAACGTGCACTCAATGTAAATTGTTATGAATGCTGCCCTAAGGGCATGTGACTTCCTGCACCTCTGCTACTGGACAGCAGACAATCAGAATTCACTCCAGCTTCAAATATATGTGAACTGCCCCTAATCATTTCAATTCCTGTGCAAATTGCATCCTGCAGCTAGCTTTTTCAGCGCCTTAGTAAATTTAACTTGATTATAACTGGAAGCATGTGGCTATGATTTAGGCATGCTTATTGCTGTAAAAGAACTAAGCCCATCTTCAAAATTACTGTGCAAGTATTTTAATAAGATTTGCACACATCTCAAAGAACTCTATTGTATGACTCCCTGGCCTTGGAGTTAATTCAGCAGTGGAAGAGTCAAGCGATGAATTCACTGATGAGGTAAGGGATGCATCTGCAGATTTTCCTTGTGCATCAGCATCTGAATCTTTTTGACAGGATCTATAGTTGCTCACAGAACCTGACCTCTGCGGAGTTGCAGTCCCAGACTTCGCTTCAGTAATTTCATCTGGGGGCCAGGGGAGAGAGGAGGAAAATTAGGTATCAGTATCAGATCACTTACAGGAACAGCAAACATCTGCCCATTCTCACACTTCAAAATCTTGGGTTTCTTAAAGTCTTGATTAATATATAAACAGCTTGTGCAACATGAGTTGTATTTCCACAAGAGTTGAGGGCAGGACTGCAGCAGGCTGCCCTCGCCAAGCTCTGTGGCTCTAAGCAGCCATCTCCCTATCAAAGGCATGGCATTTGTCCTATACTGCAGTAGCCGAACACAGGAAAATGGTTAGTCCTCTCTATCACATACCACTAGAGCTAAGGAAGCACCTGTATTGTCAGAAGGAACAGAACTGATAGTTCAGATCAGACTGAACTGTCACAAGACATGGCTTCAGCCACCCTATACTGTAACCCAGCCAGTAAATCATTTTTCAATGCCACTTGTTTTCCTAGGCATGTCACCTACACCACTGGCTGAAGGCAATTCTGCTTATGTCTTGTATGCCCATAAAGAAGAACACTGGCCAGTCACTATTAACTCCTCTGTTTGTTTTCAGGAAGGTATCCAACTGTGATTTGTATGCTCCATTACTGTCACTCTATAAAATATACCTTCCCACAGGCTAGACAAACTGCTTCCAAGGCTTAAATTACTGCAAGCATACAAATCCTATCTCAAAATTTTGTCTACCACTAACACTGGCAGGTTGACTTTGCCTGGCAGCTAACACCTCTGAGCAATGGACAAGAAAACTGGAAGGGCAAACATGAGAAAACTCACAAGTAGAAATAAATATAGAATAATAAGAGGAAAGGAAAGGGAAGGGGTAGTGATGCAAAAGCAACCACTTGCCACCTCTCCAAAGCAGGCTTATGCCCAGCCAGCCTCAAGGCTACATCCCCCAAACTCCCACCCCTCAATTTTCTTGCCAAGCATAACATTATATGGCATGGAATAGCCCTTTGGACAATCTGGCTTAGCTCTCCAGGCTGCATTCCCTCCCAGCTTCTTGCTCATTCCTGGCCTATTCATTGGTTTGATAGTGGGGGGGAAAAAGAAAGACTGAATACTATGTAAGTAGTGCTCAGCAACTGCCAGAACAATGGTGTGTTGCCAACACTGTTTTAGTCACAGATCCAAAACATAGCACCATATAAGCTTCCTGAAGAAAATGAACTCATCTCAGCCAGACCCAGCACAGCAGTGTACAGTCCAAGTCAAATTTTAATGCCTAGATGCCAAGCTTTATCTTCACTAGTTTATCCACATGCTTACATCTAAATGTTTAAACTTCGGGGTGAGGCTCTAAAGGGAGTTTAGGTTGATCCAAATCTCACCTCTCGCAGCCCAGTCCCCTTTTGCACTAGTGGTATTAGTGCTGGAGCAGACACAAAATAGGAGCAGGAATATTCAAGAACTGATATAGCTGAAAAGCTATTATTTAAGGGATGAACCAGCTAACCATCTGTTCACAGGAACACTAGACCAGGAAGGAATAAAGAAACACTAATACAGATCTAGGTTGGCTTAAACTAAAGGGTAACAAATTACTTGTTTAGAAATGAATTAAGATGTGTTTGCATTTAGAATGGCTTCCTGTACAACTCTGCAGGTTTATGAGACTTCACATACCATCGATGCTACGGAAGTCCAGCAAGTATGTCCTGCTGTCCACCTGATACAACTGTAGACTCATTTTGGAATACGCACTGGTAACTGGATTCTTCCTTCGAACACGTAGATAGTATGGGTTTACAACCTAGTACAAGAGATTTGAGTCAGTAACCAGAACTGCTCGAAAAGTACTGCATATTGTTTTTATCATTTCAAATACATGGTATTACCAACTGATTTCAGGCTTACCTGCTGGAGTTGTGATCTGGGGGGAGAGGGGTAGTGTTTTGCAGGTTGTTTGCTCTGGCTTGGTTTTGCTGTTGTTTGCTTTTGGGTTTAAGTTTGGGGTTTTGGTTTGGCTTGTTTGTTTTTTTTTTTTCATTCAGTTGTAGGTGATTTTTTTTTTTTGTTGTTGTTTTGTTTCGTTTGGGGTTTTTGCTTGTTTGATTCTTTTTTAGCAAGCAAAAAACATCCTACAGCCCCAGTAGAAAAGTTAAACATGATAAAAAGATTTTTTTTCCCCTATCCGCATGAATAGCCTCTTCCAAACCCCTTCCCACTAATACGAACAAAGTTACATAGCCTAGAAGTATAAAACCACACAGCTCAAACAAAAAATTACTATTGTCTGCTGTAAAGGTACTTTATTCTTTTACCTTCCATTCATAATCCAGCTGTTTAATTGCTCGACAAACTTCAGCCATGATATCATTTGGTCGACTCTGACTTCGTATTCCCAAGTGCCACTTAGCTCTCCTTACACCTTGGTGCTTTGACTTCTGCGGGTTCAGCTCATCAAGAGTATGGCGAGGACGTGGTGCTTCAGCTACTAAAAATGGCACTCTTTCAGGATGAGGGCGAGACAGATGGTGATCATCAAGAAAAGAATCTGGTGGGCTTGTAGCCAAATAGAAGTCTTTGGCCTCATTCATTATTCTTCTATTATCTATAATGAGGTGATAAGCAACTGCTAAAGGATCCTGATGATTTCGGCTGTATAGACAACTTAGCACTTCCTCTTCAGTGCATTCAAACTTCTCACACACTTCTTTTAAGGCTTCATCATCAATCATGGTAGAGCTATATGATGGGTCTTCAGGAAACAAGTATTTGGGAAGGTCCAGCTTAAACCATTCATGTTCTCTAGATTTAAAAATATACATAAAAAGTCTGAGTATGAAAAGCAAACCTTTTTAATATTAAATTCTTTCAAAATTATTTTTAATCTGTGCAGAATCCTGGTTGTCACTCCATGTCCTCTTCTGTGCAGCACAGACAGTAAAAAAAGTACATAACCACTGCCTTCACAAAAGCTTGCTAGACATTCTGCAGAAGACTAAAAAATATCCTAAGTTTTTCAACTGAGTTCCAAAAATACCTTTGTATAACTCAACCAGTTTTTTTGTAGGTGGCTTTTTTGTTTTGTGGGTTTGGGGTTTTTTTTGTTGTTTGGGTTTTTTGTTGTTTTTGGGTTTTTGGGTTTTTTTTGTTTGGTTGGTTTTTTTTTGTTTTTTTTGTTTGTTTGTTTTTTTACAAATGGTATACTTTTTACTGCCACTATTGAGGTATTTTCAACCGAAATTCTTACACTACCCACTTGAGTTGTCCCTCCCAAAATACACACATAACAATATCTAACAAAATTATGAAATGCCAAAGATGAATTATTTTTTGGGAAATGTTTGGACACAGATTTTTTTAACATAGAAGCCACATTTCCCACCCCAAACAAGCTGCTTGTAATTTTTTTCATTCAGAACACCTGCAGCTGCTTCTTCAAGACTTAAAAAGGGTTGAGGAAGCTCTGTAAGGGTCAATCTGTACCTCTTCACTACTGTACCCATGCACTGGTATTCATAAAATGGAAAAGGAAAGATACAGAAGGAAGCAAATACTTGCATTGCCCAATCATACATAAAAGATACAATTGTTTTGTGTGCCCTGCGTAAGCTGCCTAATGAGTCAAAGTGTATGTCACAACACCAATGATGAAAATATTCCAGCCTAGAGCACAAACACTTGCTACAGATTTAAAAGCAGCTATATGGCTTATCCCTAGCCAGCAACTAACTAAGCACCACACAGTTGCTTGCTCACTCCCCACTGGTGGGATGGCAGAGAAAGAAACCTGTGGGTTTCTCTACAGCTGAGATGGAGGCCCATATGGAGGAAGCAAGATCCTCTTCAGATTCTCAGAGTTGGCTGGCCAATCCATCTACAGTTGGTGCCTCCATGCCTGCCCAGCTCATTATCGCCAGGGTGTTGGCACGTGACATCAATGCACTTTGTACAAACTTGTGCCACATGGACCATATGCACCAAATCTCATCCAGGTCTTTGGATACCTGGTCATCATCCAAGTTGCTACATATCACCCCCACTAAGACTAATTCCCTCAAATAATGAATACTTCCCCTCAGTAATGATACATCTGCTTAGGGAATTTGCAAGTTCTTTAAAGGTATACCATCCCCAGAAGAATTAAGGTATTCAAATGAACTCAGTTTTTCTTCAAACTGTGAGGCGACATGTCTTATGGCTAACAGGACAGAACTCTTCAGGATTCAAAAGCCATCCATGCTCTGCAACCAAAATTTTTCAACATCCTCCACAACACTTCTCTTCTGGACTTACTTAACATGACTGAGGTAAGCTAAACTCATATCCCCACAAGTTTTACTATGCTTAGTTCCCACAGTACTTTATTGTCTGCAAGAGGAACATAAACATTACCAACTTACTAACTTTCAAACCTAAAAGCAGCAGCATTTTTATTAAGGCAGGGTATTAAAGCCCTCTCCTTAGAGCTTCTTATACATGAAACTGGAAAACCTAACCAAGCTGCTGCATAAAGTACAGTTCTATTAGCTACCATTTGGGGGGAATTGTTTTGATTGGGTTTGTGGAGTTTTTGTTTTTTAATTTGACCCACTGTACACATGCCAAAGCAGACACCTTCTCCGGAATCTCTTCTTATAATCTGGAGCTCATGATAGCTATCTGTACCTACAAGCTCTAATTTATCAACACTCGATGCAGTAATTATCACTCATACACAAACTCATGTCAGGATTTTGAACCTAGAAAGTGTTTTCGCACATGTGGAATATTCAGTCTTAACAGGTGATCTTTCAGAGCCTGAAGAGATGTGAATAAAAGCAGTAGTTACCACACTGAAGAGCCATAAATTGCTCTAACACATTTACAGGATAGAATAGTGGTTCTCAATAACACAGACTTCTCCTCCCCCCCACCCCACCCCCCCCAGAAGTCAATACACTGTACTTTTTGGAAACCATTCTGCCAGTAAACATCTTTGCTACAGCAAGCCTAGAGTTTCTCAGAATTTCTAGATGCCATGTATATAACTTGGTTTACTATGACCTCCAACAGGCAGCTACTGAAGATGAGAATGAGAGGTAAAGCCAAACCACTAGCAGCTGAATTTTTTATCTCAGCCTACAAAACACAGACAAACTGTATGAATGATTTCTTTGTTCTGCGTATTTACACCGAGATTATCATTCCAGCATCCTGTGATCAGACATCAGTTAATGTTTTACCTAATGTCTCTGATTGTTGCTCTCTTCATTGGATCCACTTGCAGCATGTGCTTCAAAAGACTGATTACAGATGGATTTAGATACTGAGGGGTATAAAAGATACCATCACATATCTTCTTAAAAAGGGTTGGCACATGATCATCATCAAACGGAAGCGTTCCACATAACAAAGCATAGAGAATAACCCCACTGCTCCAAATATCTACTTCTGGACCTGCATATAACCTGGGAAAAAAGTTAACTATTAGTGATTTTTGTTTAATACATTTAAATATTTTTCTCTACTTTCTTACACTGTACCACAGTAATTAAAAGTGTATTATCTTGGGACAACTAATCTGCAGGTACTATACCACTTCAGTTCTATGGCATGCTTCCCTTGAATATCAGTGTCCTTCCACTTCAAGTATAAAACAAGGCACAAGTAGTTTTCCTCTGTAGTGTATAACAATAGTCCACACATGCAGTTTAAGACAATGGCAAACCCAAAGAAACTTGCACCTCCTACTAAGAAAGCCCATGTCATACACGGTTTTAGCAGAATCTGGGCAAAACCAACTATGCCCCCAGACTGGTGAGGCTGAAAAGTTTAAGACAAGTCTATGTAGCAGAACTTGTCACGTATCTGTGCTGCTGCCTGAATAAAACAGACATTTGGCATCCATCAGCAAGAGGCAGTATTGAGTGGGTAGCTGAAAGCAGCAGATTTGACAATCAGTCAAAAAAACAAAACAAAACAAAAGGAAGTTACTCATTCTGAAGCTATCTACCCTGCAGCAGATACTTCACCACTACTCAGCTTCATAGCTGACTCTGCCTGTAATTTTATTCACACCTCTACTTCCAAGGTCTGAGCTGTGAGATTTTTAAATCAATTCAGGCAAACTGTACACACTGGATGTGGAGCATTAGACATCAGCTCCATCCTGCAGGAGCTATTCAGAGCTAGTTTATAGAAGCCTTACATCTTCATGAAAAATTATGAAGCCAATTAAAAGTTCAGCCCACAGTTTCTCAGCATTGAACCCGTCAAATGAACTAGTTCTGTAGCCTTTAGAATCAAGCAGCAACATTAAGTACATGCACACATGTATCCAATATAAAAAAAACTACCTTCCTGAAATTACTTCTGGTGCAGCATAGTTAGGGGAACCACAGCTTGTTCTTAAAAATTCTCCATCTGACATCATATTTGATAGACCTGAAAGTGTATAAGAGTAACTACTAAAAATTCAGAGAGCAAAATGATTTCACACTGCATATACCATCTAGAACAAATCACTAGATACTCAAATTAGAAAAATCAATAAATTTATCTCAGTAAATAATGTTGTTTGGAATTACTGAAATTTTTACATAAACATGCCACATAATCTTCCATTTAGTTTACGAGAATTTTGAGTAACGTCAATCCATTATCACACACAACCTAGAAGTATTTGAGAACATATTAATTCCAAAACAAAAAAAGAACAGCCTGATTTGGATTACATAAGCATGACGGAGAACAAAGTTGTTCTCAGAAGATGGAACAGCATAGCAAAACAAGATTTTGGTCATTAACAAGAAAGACTTAAAAATCCCATTTGCTTCTGAATGCTAAAGTGGAAGATGCTACCACAGAATTGCCTAAAGTTTTGCAGAAATATAGGAAATACAGGATTGAGGACTACACCTGACTTCAGTTTCTCGAATCACTTCAGCTCATTAGTTTGATTTTAGATATTCCATTAGTAACTAAAGTGGACTTTAGAACTAGGCCATCTTCCTTCACCAGCCCTCAGTATAGTTTAAGATCAGTAAAGAACTACCACTTCTAGAATAGCTGTGGAATAGACCTTTAGTTTCTTCAGTGGAGGCTGCATTATCAAGACTAATCAGTTTCCAAGAAGGAATAATGTCCTTTTTTACAGGGGGCAGGGGAGAGATGATAAAGAGTGCAGCTTGGCTAGCTTTCATACTCTTAATATACAAAAGCTTCTATTAAGGTTGTTTGATGCACTAGTAACAACAAACTGAGTACTACAGCTTTGCTGATACATTAGTTAAAAAGGAAGATATTTAAGTTACTGTGATTCATTTCTTCACCACATAAGCAATTTCAACCAAAGCATTTTCTACACACAAAAAAAACCCAGTATGATTCCCTGTGCCCACATACTTGACCACTCTACTTTTAAACATACTTAGACTACTCAGTATTACCTAGCACTGTTCATCAGAGACCTCAAAGTGCTTTACAAGGGCAGGCACTACCCACTATGCCTACAAGAGATATATCATGATGCTATAGCAGTATGAATACCTTACTGTGCTTATATGGTGAGGTTTCCTGATGCAGATAGCTCAAAGAACTAGCTGCCAGTCTTCTTAACAGCTGTGTCACAAACAGATAGTATAAACACTTAAGCTTTCTGATCAGTTAGGCAGGTACAAAGCAAAAAAGCACAGGAGTTTGCAAGATTAACTGTTCTTATTTTACCTTTTACACTTTAATTACTTTTTTTTAAATCACATCTTTGGAGTTTTTAAAGTGAATTTAGAGTAGTTCAGTAGGAGGACTAGTGTATTTTACCATAGCAATGTAGTTCTTAAACATGAACTGCTCCTGCACTGTACTTCCAAGAAAGCTACAGTTTACAGACGGTGAAACAGGCAATAGGAGTGAATTTTTAAATGAAAGGTCAGGAACTATGTCTATTTAGCATTTCAGAGAAAATATTGTTAAGCAAAACCAAACAAATCAGTTCATAACTTCATCCAGTCAGAGAAAATTCCTGAAGAGAAAGCTTGAGAAAAAAAACCCAAGTTTTACACATGTGCAAGAAACATTTGTACTCTTCAGGTTCTCGTATTGTGTCTCATCACCAGGATACTTAAGTGTGTATACTTGAATATGTCCCATAATAACTAACGGGACCTAACCACCACCAGAAACATGATCAGACATAAAGCAGCAATGCTTACCAAAGTCAGCTATCTTGGCATTCATGTGTGCATCAAGCAGCACATTTTCAGGCTTCAGATCTCTATGTACTACCATATGCCTGTGACAGTAATCCACGCCAGAAAGGATTTGCTGGAACAAACGTCTACTTTCCTTCTCATCCAGCTAAGACAGACAAAAGTTTTAAAACAATTGAGACAGTGGAAGATAACTGGGTTTTCATATATGAGTTAAGGGAAATTTTCCCATCACCTGAAGTTATCATTTATCATTGATACTTTATACAGCAGATTATCAGAACTTGTAGCAGAAAGCTCCATAGCTTACATCATTGTTCATACCACAGCTCAAAAATGACTAAAACAAAACATACCTTCCAACTCAGAAAGCCACTGAAATTTCTAATTGCACTTTTGAAATTGGTTAGGCAGATCTTACATACTCAGTAACTAGAAACATTAGCACCCACGAAGTACAGCATAAGATCTAAGTTGACAAAAGCTGCTGACATGCAGCACAGAAGTGCTAAGTTTTAGATAGTACAAGTAGCCAGCACCAAATAGCAGACTTAGCTGGACATTTCCTACAAACATGCCATGTCAAAGTTTGTTCTAACAACTAAAGTATCCTCATTTGTCAAAAGTGACTTCAGAGCTTTTACAAAAACTGTTCTACTAGTAGAAGAGGGTATTAAGGCCATAACAGTAGCTTTCCACTAACGGGTTATACTCAAGGAATATTTTTCAGCTACTTCAGCTGGATACATATCCACCCAGTCTGCTCCCAGTAATTCGTAAATTAACAGATCACTAGAAAGGAAAAGTGCTATGACAGTCATACATAAAAATATGAAACGTTAACATTCTACCATTTTCACTTTCAGAACAAGATGTAGTCATAAAGCACTTTAATTGCTAACAGCAAAATTAATGCTGAATACAGAAAAACAAACCTTCATTTGACAGGGTGTGACTGGTACACTCTGCTCCCGGCCCTTGGTAATCTGATTAGCATAACTAACACCATTTTATGAGGCAAGCAGCCATTCTGTGACTTAGTGAGTCACGTATTTGTGTCCTTCCCCTCACTGTCTGGCCCTGAAGGTCCTGTAAACCCAGTAGGCAAACCAAACATTTCTTCCTGTCCCTAGTGGCCTCAAGGTTCCTGGGCACCAGGCTGATAATGCCTTTCCTTAATGACCCTGAAGGTCCCAGGCACCTAGCCAGCCTGGTGGTGGTGATAACCCCTTCCCAGAACAGGGAAGTGTAGGAACACCCAGAGTACTGTCTGTGAAATCACTTATGAGTTCAAAGTGGGGAACCTGGAACAGAACCACTGCTGGACAGTGAGAGCCACAACTCCCTGGTGGCCAGAGACACCTCCACTACCCTCTGCTTCCTCCAAGGACTGAGTGACTTGTTTCCTTTCATATGATATTCAAGTCCAGACTATGAATGTTGTACTGATACAGCAAACCATGTATTAAGATTTGACCAGATCTGCACAGGGTCTGGGTGATTAGAATTCTAAAAATTAAATTCCATTATAAATCCTGTATTACACTACTTACAAACTGTACTACATTGATTCTGCTTGTTGAAATCCCATGCCACTCTAATCACAAGTTCTGTGCTACACTAACTGTAATATCCTGTTAAGAAAATAAAGCTTTAAATACATTCCTGAAAGGATCCCCAAAAAGAACCTGTCAGTCCTCTCAATGTGAGGCGCCACAGAAGTGTTGCAAAAGCAGTAATAATACAAGTCATTGATTTGTAGTCAGACTACTTCTTACCCTTCCATTTTTACAGATATAATCAAACAGTTCTCCTCCTGAAACATATTCCATTACCATGAAAATGTCAGTTGGCGTACTGATGACCTGGTACCTGGTAAGAGAAGGTATTTGTTAGTCTACATACTCAGTAAAAGATGCTGAATTACATTTACTTAAAAACAACACTGTGCAAAGACTCAGATAAAAGTATACTTCAAAGTATTTATCAGGTAGTTTACAGCTGTTGGAATTACAGTGGTTTTCAGAAGCCATTTCCTCTCTTTCTACTACAAGATGCCACCACTGCCAAGACTAACAGCGTATTTATGTTTCCCAAAAGAAGTATCAGCCTTTGTACTTTCAGAGGGTAAATTTAGTCCAAACGATTCCTATACAGTGCTGCCTTGGACACAGCTTGGTTCAGTGAGGAACAAATTCAAAATGACTTTGCTAGCATCTCAAACATCTACTTCTCCACATGCAAAATACTCGACTTGCCATAAGTAAAACTATACTTCAAGACAAAAGGGAAAACAGACATGCTTCAGCTTACCAAGTTATTCTTGAACTATACACAGCAATGAGTTCAGACATGCTTTACCTTTACCGACTTTATCTAACACCATGGTTGAAAGTACTTTATGTACTTAAATAGCAACAACATTCTAAAGCCATGGCTAAAAGACTACTACAGAGCTAGCATTTTAATCAATTTAATCCAAAAGCTACAGCCATGCTTCTTTGTAGTCAGCTCATTTTTCTGGGTATGGAAGAGGAGGTTTTGGAATAGTTATACACCTATAATATAAATAAGATTATCAAACCACACAGCATAGATGACCAGAATAAAAAAAGCAAAAAAAAAAATACAATTTTATGTAGGAAAACAAGATGCATTCTACTGTTAAAGGTCAAAAACTGCACGAGGAGACACTCCAAAGGCTTTATTTAGCACAGTATGGAAAGAAAAATCTTATCACAACAGGCTAGCAATTGTAAATACTGCTAAAGCCATGTATGAAATTTTTCATAAAGCACAGAAGTGTTTCAAATTAGACATCGTCTTGTAATATTAAGCTGAAGAGATTTATTTACCTTTATCCCAAATATCTTAAGCTGCTATCCCAGCAGTTCCCCAGTCCAGTTCCTAATAGTATGACTAGTATGATCCCAAATTTCCAGCTACCTACCTGCATAATTATATCAATTGTATTGTATATGCTACAAATATATAGGCTAATAATCCTTCCACTTTAGAAATGCAGGCTGACCAACTGAAAAAACTGATGGATTATCATCTCCTACATCTCCTCCCTTCTCTGTACATGCAGAAGAAAAAAAAAATCTCCCCATAATTCCCTGAGAGAAAAAAAAAAAAAAAAAAAAAAAAAAGTCATCTGAAACCTGTTAAGCTGACTTAACTGTTTAGCAACTCCGCAAGGACACATTCCTGTTCCACCCTCATCTGAGTTGGTATACTGACACTTCCTATCTTGTTTTGGCTACAGGTATGTCCTTTGGACTCATTCATGAACTCTAGCTGTCAGCACCAGCAATTCTGTAGCCAAATCAGCTCAACAGTATTCTGCAAACTAACCCACTGAAGAAGCAAGTTCATCTTAAAACATCCAATTTAGCTTCAGTGTTAAGAGCTGTTGCCAAATTAAAGGGAGTGTATAGTGCTGGCATATGTCAGTGGCAGCAGGGTCTTAAGAGAAGACACTGCCAATAAAGGGAAAAAAAAGATAGGACCAACAACACGATGAAGACAGTGAAAACAGTGAAAACCACCCACACTCTGGAGGTGCAGATACACTCTACAGGAAATGAAAGTCTAAAAATCAAGAGCATTTATAACTTACTTCCTCAGACCAGAGACAAGGGGTCTACTCTGGGGCATATTTAATTGTACTCTGAACTCCACTTTTGAATTATTCATCAACTAACAGGCGTAAACAAGCACACTGTAAACACCACAGTTAGACAAGTGGCAGCAGCTATATTGAAGAATTCCAAAATAATTTAACAAACTGCACATTCTTAATTCAGAAGTATCTCACAGAGTGTCATCTACACTGGTAAACCATAGATCATTGACCAACACATCACTAACAACATATTTTGAGTAAGAAAACACAATAAGCTTACTACAGCAATGGCCCTTTACAATCTTCTTAACTCATTTTTGAAGAAGAAAGATCAAATAAAACCACAAAAAGAAAACTGATGCATCAGCTAAAATCAGAGATGGATGCTACTAGAAGTATTTATCATGGCATGACCTTTTACATCTCCATTCAAAGAATTTGTAAGTAAAGATCTAAAAGATCTGCAAAGAAGGTCAGTTTTGTGAAAACACATTACAGAGGACACTGAAAATAGTTGTGTATTTGGAATCTGGTTATTTTCCTGACAAGATAGTCCCAGAATTGCCCTTTAAACATGTTTCAGATCAGTGAGAGCAAAAACAGATTACTGCTTATATACATTTGAATATAGCAAGCAAAACTTACAGCTTAATTATGTGAGGATGCCTGAAGAGTTTGAGGTTCTGAATCTCCCTGCGGATTTTTCCTACAACATCAAGGCTGCGAATCTTCTGTCGATTCAGGATCTTCACTGCAACTTTATGTCCAGTTAACTCATGTTTGCCAACTGCAAGAACAAAGAAGTATTTACTGAAGGTTTTCAACTGCTCCATAAAGATAATTTGTTCATTTCAACCATAGCCAAGAAACACAAAGAAGTCAGCATTCCACATATCCCCATTATCTTGAAATGGGGCTGAAAACCAGATGGCATGTCATCTCTTCTGCCCTACTCCAATTTCTCCCACAATTCTATCATTAGAAGATGAATGGGATATGCAAGAAAGACCTTAAACCTAGCCCTCAGGTGTCTTGCAGCATGACATTTTTGCACTATTGCTAACAAATAAAGCATATCCCAAAACACTGGCATCCTTGCTAATTAGGGACACCATTTTCTCTCCCTGTATAAGTCACTCCAAACTTTTAGCTCACCTGTTAACCAACTCAGACATGTTTTCCTGCAGCTCTCCTACTTTATCTGCAGGGATCACTCTTACTAAAGAAACCACTATTGTTCCCTCAAGAAGCCGGATTCAGCAATTACTCTGAATTACCAGAGTATCAGTTTACTTGAGAAATAATTACCTGTCCTTGGAACAGTCTGACTGTAAAGTCCACAGTCTGTGCAGTAAACACCATGGTTTTATTACATAAAGTAAGTGGTAAAAGCTACAGGAAACACGAAGCCAAATTCAATTGTAACTGTGAGAAGCAATGTGAACACACTATCTCATATATTCCTCAGTTTCTTTCCTACTTCTAGGAGAGTTTAATTTTCTTTCAAGAGGAGGAACTAAAAAGTATAAAATACTTCCTTGACACTTGTCCCTCCTTAACTTGGAGGTGCTACCTGAAGTAACCACAACAAAGTTGCTAAGAATATTTTTCTTAAACCCAGCACTGGATCACAGATAAAGCACAGAAGGCAAGTGTCTGTTCCACTCAGGCTTCACTATCTGCACGGACTTCTGCCTAGAACTATTTTCTGCAAGCATCACATTCATTTCCCACCCTGATTCCTGTCTTTTGAAGGATTAGTCAGATTCTAAGGACACCTAATTGGTTCAGTCTTGTCCACTTGAACAGATACTGCTAACAGCCATGTGCTGACTCGCTCATGTGGATGCCTTTCCTCACCTGAGAATTTAACTAAGCCCCAGGCTTCAAGCTTTATTTAAACATATCCATGAGAAACTGTGATAAACAGCAGTGATCCACAAAAACCTTCCTGCATTCAACAAATAATTTGGATGGAATTAGCAAATGCTTATCAATCTGTGAATCTCTTTCCCAAGACAGAACTTTCCAGCTACCTTTTGGCTCTATACTGAGACAAAAAAAAATAATATCAACGCAAATAAGAAATTCTTAGAAAAGACACAGAGATAATGATAAGCACCTGAGCAATTATTCTTACAACAAAGATAGCCACTGTGTAGAATAAAGCAGTTGGTCTGAATTCCTGTAGGTAACTAACTATGCAGTGGATTACCCAAGATCCTGAACCATCACAACCTGAAAATACAGAAGAGCTCCAACTGCAAGCTTAAAAAACTCCTCCTCTCATTCCAGGAGCCATTACCTAAAAATGGCCAAAATAATCAAAACACCAGACAGGCTCATTTGCACTGCTGAGGAATGCAGGACAAAGCCCCCATCCACCACAAGTTCTAGACAGCCCACAAACCATGGACAGGCCAGTACCTAGAACTGTAAAATCATGTCACCTATGAGTTGTTTTCAACATCTACAATTAAAGCAATTGCATCGTCTTTTTCTTCAGTTCAAATGTCACTGAAGTTTTAAGAGAACCAAACAAATTATACTGCACACGTTCAAACCCTAACAAATAACAAATCAGCAACATAAGACATTAGAAAAGCAAGTATCCTACTTGAATTACAGAGTTTCTGCTTAACAGTAACATGAACTCAAGTAAGCCAGAAGTATTGGGGGGGGGGGGGGGGGGGGGGGTAAAATTTAAAATTAAATTTTGGGGGGTGGGGGGGGGGGGGTAGGGGGGGAGTTAAAATTTAACATTAATTTTTGTTAGTAAGAAACAGCTTCTTGGAAACTAAACAAAAAACCAGACATATGAATTTGTATCTTCCTTTGCTTTACAAAGTACATGTAGCAAGGTGTTTAATTTAGTAAGTAGCATACATTTGAACAATTCTACAGCTTAGCATATAAATATTCAGTTCTGACATGGACTGTGTTATAAATTCTCTTTTATGGGCCAATTTGTTTAGCTTCCAATTTGTCAGTCTACCTTAGACAAAAACTGGAATTTCATGAGAACTCAGAAAAACATTAAAGTAATTTATTAGCTACAACAATCTTATGTCACATAAGGTCTTCAATACACATTTTCCCTTTAAAGTAATTAAATAGTGACATTTGCAGTTGACTAAAACTAATTCTAGCTGTCAGATCCATCACAATTGTGCGCTTCCAGCCTTAATTTTATTCATTGACTAGGAGAAAACAGATTTTCTGCTTGCCAACTTTGAATAAATTATTGTAATGAAAACATACGGAGGCTTTGTGCAGGTGCAAAGAGATCCCAAAAAGCCTGTTCACTTGCTTTAAGACATTTCAAACTGAATTACTTTTTTCTTCAATAATTTTTGCCTCTCCTTTTAAACACAATTTAAGATTTTAACAAAGCTTTTTAAGTTTCAGGTAACTATCTACTTCAGCAAATGAAACTTACCTTGTATATGGTTCAAGGTATCTGTTAACAGTAAAACAGCAGTCACTAACTGGTAACAGACTGCTGATTACTTTTGAATTCGGCATGAAACCAGAACTGAATACAAGACCATCATGAAGAAAGGTAAGTAGATAGTGTTATCTTTCAAAAACCTGCTCTGCATTACCTCTTCGCAGAAGTTTTGCCTATAAAAGGGAAGTCTCACAAATTGCAAGTAATCAAGATTTATCTGAGTCACCCTAATGCTCAACCAGCTACCAGTCCTTCTAAAGAATATCACTGCATTAAGTTCATTTTACAGACCTAATACTTCCCTGTACTTCTTTATTCTCTGATAACACCCACTGCCTTCAAGCTTTACTATGGCTAATGCATAAGACCAATTTCCAAGATACTGACGGAGTCTCAAAGCAGCAGTGACTTCTAACTGTTGAACTGCAGGAGCAGTAGTCCCTAAACTCAGTTCAGCAAAATAAAAGAAAACCGATTACAGGCTATATAGAGTAAATACAACATTCTTTTGAAATATCAGTTATAAAAATGCAGGGGGGGGGGGAAGCTAAATATGCATATGCTGTATTTAATGAAACATTCCTGCAATAGGCCAAAAAGCCAACCTGAGGCTCAGGGGGAAAATGGTCTTAAAAAGTATGAGCTAAACAAATGTTTTCATTAACAAAAAAAACAAAACAACCATGAGTTAATGTTATGCAAAGGCATTTCGCTGTGCAACATTAACAGCAAACTGATCTGCACCATCATTGCCTTTACCAAGATGACTTGTTTACATCAGTTTTGCAGTCTACATAGACCAGGGCTTGGAACAATCACTGTATACTTACAACCTGAAGTAGAATCCCTCACTTTCTCAGTACAAATCACTGGATGCCCGAGTACTCTTCCTTCTACGGAAGTTAACTATTTCCAAAACTGTCTGGAAACAAAGTCTGCATTCAGTTTCAGCAGCAAGCATCAGCAGTGGTTTAAAAAAAAAAAAAAAAAAAAACAAAATCATAAAACAGGATTAAAATAGGGATAGAGGTTTTACATTAAATCCTAGCAAAGTTTAAATGCATCTCACATGATTGAGGCCAGTACTCTTCTACCCCACAGCTTTTCACTTGTGTGGCATTTTAGCTTTGCCTAGATCTTGGCCAGAAACAGCTGTCTCCTCTATGACTGTCTATCTGAGGTACAGGCAGGAGTCAGTCAGTAGTTAATTCAGGCTATCACAGCCAGAAGAAAACACCACATCACTAAGTTATCTGTAAGTGCAAATCAAATAAGGGAGGCAGAGAGGTGTTATGGAAATAGAGCAATAATAAAACTTTCAACTCTTATTTCTTTTTTAAATTGTTTATAGCTAACTATATTTCATGAAATATTAATAGTAGCAATGTTCAATAATATTAAAATGCTAACAGTAGCGCCACAAAATGATCACCTTTTAAGGTGTCAACTTCAGACATGTTTTTGCCAACAGAGAGAAGAACATTTATGTAAGCATTATGCAGGTATACCAACCTTAGTTTTGTGAAGTGCATCGGGGAGGGGGAGAACCACACGCACCTTTGACTGCTCTCCTTCCCTCAACCATGCAGTCCCTCTATGAGGAGGAAGAATCTGATCCCTGCCTTCTGCCTTATCTCATTTCCTCTCTATTTAAGGAAGTACTAAGATCCCACAAAAAGTAATGGTACTCCAGCTGCTCCAAAGTGGCCAGGGTGTCACTTTTTTAAGCCTGCCCTGAAGAATGGAGACCTGGAGGGCTCTAGTCTCAAACTATTTTCCTAGCTACTCTTAAAGACAAATATAATCCTATTTTCTGTATGTGAGCAATTTCTTCAGAACATGCTAATAGTTGAAAGTGCTTGTGTAGAGAACATACAGTACAAACATCGACACTGAAAAAACCTACCATACTAAAAGTCAGCTAGCACATTAGATACAACAGGATAAGCTGCGGTTCTCTACTGGTTGTAATCATGAGCAATCCATTAGGTTAACCATAAAAGACCTTACAAAGAATGCTATGAGAGTCTAGTCTAAGTCAGTTGTGAAAGGTTGTTTTCCATTTGCATACCCCAGTATTTGAACAATTCTCACAAACACCACAGCAGGAACAGTATAAGCTAATGCAGTTTTTCCACCTGTGGCAGTTGGCATCGAGGGAAAGTTTAATTTCTATTTCTGCTAGGCTTCAAGTCTGCAGTATGGCATCTGCACCCCTACTGGGAAAACTTTCTAAAGTCCGAGATGGAAAGATCTACTTTGGCAACCACTAGTGAAGTGGATTTAGCATAAAGTCTTTCCATATCTGTATGTCAGCTGCGCTGCCAGTTAATCCA